TTGGGGGTTTATATGAATGTGTTTCTGAGGGGAACTGACTGTCTTCAGAAAAGTTTATGTGGTATTTTCTTTTCATCTCGTCTCTGTATAGTTCATATTAAAGCAGTGTTTCAGCACAGCTGCTTTGTTTACGCGGTAACCAAGGAAACACTGTATCAGCGGTAACCAAGGAAACACTGTATCAGCGGTAACCAAGGAAACGCTGTATCAGCGGTAACCAAGGAAACGCCGTATCTGCTGTTCCATGAGCGCCTCCTGCTGTCAGAGAGTGAATCTGCGTCTCATTCAGAGCATCTGCTTATTATTATTATTATTTCTGCCGTTTAGCGCCATCTGCTGTCAGAGAGTGAAAGTGCGCTTTCATCCAGAGCATCTCTCACATGTTCCGCCATGTGCTTCTCGTCCGCGCTTGTTTACATCAGAGTGCGCACGCGTCTTTCACGCAGCATACAGCGCTGTTGTGCATTTTCACCAGTTGATGGGAAAAGTATTCTTAAAATGCATTCAAAATTTTGAATAATTTGTAATATATAATTATTGATGGTATTTAGAAGTGCCCACGATAACAATATCGTGCATATTCATTACCGTGATATACCGCATTACCGAATACCGGCACAAGTCTAATGTAATTACAGATTTAGGTTAAATAAAGATGTCAACAAAAAATAATAAAAATCATTCTGAGCAGCGACGGCGAGAGACTGTCGTCTCGATGAGAAGAGGACGGGTGATTGTTGCTGGTTACTGTACGAGGATTGAAATCACCAAATGGCCTTAAACAACTAGCACATAAACTGCTGAACCTTATGTTTTCTAACACCGTACTCTGACAGCGCTATCTGCTCGTTAACCAGGGTTCAAAGTCCAAAGTGAAAATCTGCGCTGAAGCAGTGTTACTCCTCAGTTTTTACGAGACACGTGACGATGCGATACGTGCGACGCATTCGTAATGAGACTCGTGTATAAATCTGCTGCGGTCAACACAAAGAAGCGCTGAGGTCTTCGTTTCCGCCAAAATAAAAGCAAGAAATGTTAGTATTGTTGTAATTTTACTGTTGTTCTGTAGATTGTTCTGTTCTTCAATAATAATGATAATAATTTCAACCGCTCTATTAATACATTTATTATAACGATGTTCAAAGTGGGATCTGTAATATTTTCTAATGTTTTAAAAGAAGTCTCTTCTGCTCAGCAAGGCTGCTTTTGATTGTACAGTAAAAATACATGCCTGATTCAAGAAGGGGGTCTGATGGCCAAAAAATATTATTTTACTAACGCATTAATTTTTAAGTTAAATTGTGCTTTGTTGGTGTAGAATGTTTAAAAATGTTCAGTGTTAAATATTTTTAAATTGTTGTTTTGTAATTGATTTTTTTCTTTGAAAAGCAAGACAAAACCGTAAAAAGCACATTTTGGCTATTTAATTTGTGCAATGGTGAAAACAATTGGGGGAAAAACTCTAGAAACTGTGTTCAGTATTTGACCCAGTGTTAACCGCGGCGTGTTGCGTCTTGTTTTCTGATGTTTATGTTGAACAGCTCGTGTTCGTTCAGCTTGATTGAGAAAAACAAACGCGTCTCGGGTCCGGTTTGAATGCGGCTCAGAGCTGTGTTTGTGTGCTGCTGTCCCTGAGATGCAGACAAACCCATTCCTTCAGACTCGTACCGTGCAGATTTCCTCTCGCTCTGCTCTGTTCGACAGATTCTCACTCGTGTCATCGTTATCTATCATCATATTGTCCGTCATAAACGTTCTGAAGGGAGCAGTAGGCTTTTATTTTCTCCTGGTTTTTGTCAGTGATGGAGTCGGTGTGTATTTTCTCTGATTGTGTTTCTGTGCACGCTTTAGCTAGCTCTTTGTCTCCAGCATGAATGGTATCGGTCTTTTCATGGCTGTTTTGCTGCAGACGGCAGCTGTAGAGGTTTTCACGAGGGTCTAGTGTTACCTTCAGCAGGTGAGTGTGCGTAACCCGAGCGAGGGCTGATGGGTAATCCGGCCTCCAGTTTGACCAACACAGGTGCTGTTGTTCTGGTCTGAGCATGCTGCTGCTGCGGAGGAGGAGGAGGAGAAATTCTGGGAAATTGTTTTTGTGATTTAAAATGCATTTGAAAAATGTTTGTTTGTAGGGCTACACAATGTGGCCTGATTTTGTGATTATATATCAATACGGTTATAAAAATTATTCAAATTATAATTTTTTTCTAAATGTTACTAAATAAAAACAAAAAATATTTCCCTGTAAAAAAAAACAAAACTAGCCTACTATTTTACAAAAATAATGTAATAATACTAAATTAATTTTATAATGATAATATAATAATTTATTTCTAAATGAAAATTACTAGATAAAAACAAAATGTTTGTTGAAATGTTACTGTAAAATAAAAAACTATTTTAGAAAAATAATGTAATACTAATTTTATTATTATTAACTGTAAGATTACACTACTAATATTTGTGGCTGTCTTATTGTCATATTGTGATTTTAGTTCGTCATGAAATTACCGTCATAACATCTGATTTAGCTCTTGTGAATCATGATTGTCTGCATAAATATCAAATATTTCTTCTGAATCGCCTACATTTGTATTTCATGTGTAATGTCTTACTTCCAGCTCAGTTTTATTGGTTGTTTATATCAGCGCTTTAGCGTGACGTCACTTCATTTGCATGTCAGTCCAGCAGCCCGTCTATTCATGAGCTGATTAGAATTGAAGCCGAGCCGTTCTCTTCATGTGTGACGTGTGAAAGAGACTCTGATCTCGGCGCGGCTCTGATGTCAAATCAACAGGAAGGTCATTGAGATTCTACAGAGCGGCTGTTAAGTTGTGTTCGGTGTATACTGAAATGAACTGATCTCTAAATTAAAGGCCGCTGCGGCAGATTCAGTGTCTGTCTTTAGCGTGACGCTCCTCTGAAATCACGGATGTAACACGTGTTCATGTGTCTCTGCGCGGCTGATTCTGCTCGTTTCTCAGACTCTCAGTGCTGTGGATGATTGACAGGCGAGTGGGCGGTCCTTCACAGCAGTGTGATGTCATCACCGCTTATCGTTCTCTTATTTGTAAATCTTCGTTCTAGGCTACTGTATGAAAGTCTTCTTTGGTTTTTGCTGTCTCGCGCACAGGAAACGCATCATCGTCACATGCTGATGGTGTTGGAGCTGCAGCTGTACAAACGACAGATCACACATTCCTGCTTCACACCAGAGTGAGTGAGTGTGTGTGTGTGTGTGCGCAGATGAGACACACACACACTCACACACGCACTCACTCACACTCACCCAGACAGACACACACACACACACACACACACACACACACACACAGGTCAGAAGAACACCAACACCATCCACTTCACAAACCCAGTGTACCAGAAGAAAACAGACGACACCGTGCACATCTTCAGGAGCTCCAGTCTAGACGGATACTCACATCCTTCGGTACGACTCGCACACGCACTCACACTCACTCTCACTCCCACACACACGGGCGCACACGCACATTCTCTCTCTCACACACACACACACACACACACACAGACACACACGCACTCACACACGCGCACTCACTCACACTCTCTCACACTCACACTCTCACACACACACTCACTCACTCTCTCACACACACACTC